GTTTAATCCTTTCGACCTTCCATCCTTTAATAGACCAATATACCATTTTTTTAGATGGAGAGAATATAATAGAACAATAGCTCATGAACTTCAACAATCACAATCAGATAAAAAGTTCTTAATCCTTCTACTGTGGGCCACTTCAGGCCAATTAGCCTGGCAATATTTCTCATAAAATGATCTCCAAAATCCTTGCAAATAGACTCAAGCCTTGCCTACCTTGTTGTATAAACGAAAACCAAGTTTTGTCCCAAATAGACAAATCCTAGACAATATTATTGTGGCCCAAGAAGTTACACAGAATAGACATAGAAGTGGCAGAAACTATTTCATGGACATTAAGCTTGATATGGCTAAGGCTTTTAACATAGTGGAATGAGAGTCCATTAGACTAATTATTCTAAAAGTTGGGTTTCATAACTTCTTTGTTAAATGAATTATTGTCTGTATCTCTTCTCCCACTTTCTATTTTAATATTAATGGCAGGGTAGATGGTTTTGTAAAATTTACTAGAGGCATAAGGCAGGAGGACCCTATGTCCTACTACATCTTTATGCTGACCTCAGAAATCCTCACTTTCGTCATAAAAAGAGAAGTTTAGAAAAAGAATTTTTAGGGTGTCAAAATCTCTAGACATAGTCCCATATCACTAACATTTTCTTTGCAGATGACACCTTGATTTTTGCAAAAGCCAATGACTCTCATGCTCTCATGATCATGAAGATCCTTAACTAGTACAAACTTATCACTAGCCAAAAAGTAAACTTGCAAGAAATTCACTATGTTCTTTAGTAAGAACACTAACCGCTCAACCCAAAGAAACATTTGTCAAATCACGTCTGAATTTATCTCTCACCAATCTACAAGATACCTTGGTCTTCTTTTAGGTCTAAGAAGGTTTAAATCTGAAACATTCAAATTCATCATTGATAAAGTGGGAAAAAAAGTGCTTAACTGGAAAAACAAGTTGTTGTCACATGCATGTAAGGAAGTACTTATGAACTCAGAGCTTACTGCTCTTCATGTTTATGCCATGAGCTGCTTTTTTCTACCAAAATCACCGGTGGCAAACATTTCTCAACTTCTTGCAAATTTCTAGTGGAACAAAGGGGTTGAGGGCAGAAAGTCTATTCATTAGAAATCCTGGAAGTCTATTACACTGCCTAAAGAGAAAGGAGGCCTAGGGTTCAAAGATTTGCTAATCTTCAACAAAACTCTTATTAACAAGAAACTGTTAGGCTACTCACAAACACAAACTCCCTAGCACGCAAGGTGTTGAAGGCCATGTACGTCCACAATGTGAGCTTCTTCAAAGTTCAGAAGTCAAACTCAAGCTCATGGATGTGGAATAATTGGTTCGAGGTGAAGGTGGAGTTTCAGGAAAGGGCCAAATTAATAAACAATGACACTTCAGTCCACATATGGGACAACCCTTAGATCCTTGGAGTGCCTAACTTCATGCCTGAGAAGACCCCATCCTCCTCCCCTGCTCTACAGAAGGTTAAAGACCTCATTGACTCTTCAGGAAGGAGATGGAATGTGGAACTTTTGTAGTGCAAGTTTACTCCCAGGAATATGTAAGCAATTCTGAGCATAAAATGGATGGATACTGGAAAAGTAGACATACTTCATTGGGAAGGTGGTTCCAAACATGTTCTCTGTCACATCCTCTTATGCCAAGATGACTGATACAAACTGGAACAAGTTAAATTTTCCTAAGTGCAGCAAGGACCCCTCCATCTCTCACGAAGTAAGGAACATTTTCTGAAGGCTCAAAATCAAAGGAAAGGTCAAGCACTTCAACTGTTCTTGCTACAACAACACTCAACCAATCAATACCAATCTCATCATGAAATGTGTGGAGGACGACTTAACTTGTAGTAGATGTGGGGAGAGGGCATAAACCATTGAACATCTACTCTTCCAATGTCCAGTTGGTACAAACATCTGGAGAATTGCCCTTGTCACCTGGGATGAGCTTAAAGATAAATCACGCTGCTTCAGGGATTGGTGAAATGTTGTTTGTTCTCTTCCACCCATATCTATCTCAGCAGATAGAATCTAGCTCTCTGCATATCTTTTTATGGCGGTTGTGGAAGACCAGAAACTTCTGGGTATTCTAAAAAGTTATAAGAAAAGGGTAGATGTGGTAAATATTATTGTACAAAATTGGTTAGAGTTTAGTTCTTTTGGCTAGTTTCTTTGTTTGGTTTGTCTTAGCTGGCTTTGTTCTTGTCCTGGTTTGTTTTTGGAGTTGTTAGTTTGTTGATATTTGTTAGTTAGTTTCGTAGCAACTCATGTTAGTTAGTGGTGGGTTTGCGGTTTCTGTTCCTTTTGGTTGGGACTGTTAGGCCCAGTTACCCAGTGGTGATCCTCTTTTTGCTGAGCTTGCTTTTCCTTTCTGAGTAAGCATAGAGTTTTCCTAGAATATTTCGGGTCCCTAGTCTTAGCCAAAATTTTCTTAGACAACTATGCTTCTTTCTTGAGTTTGTTTAGGGCACCTTGTGTTTGTGCTTCTCTATTTCTCCCTTATGGGATGATTGTATGGATTCTTAGCCAGCCCTTTTGTACATTTCTCTGACAAATAGAATATGTCGTTTCGAAAAAAAAAAACAATCAGATCAAATTATATAGAAAATTAATAAACCATGTACATGAACGTATGCAAGATAACACCTAAAAAAGCAAAGTATTGATTAATTGAGAATTGCAAATTAACTATTTAACATAATTAAAAAAACTAAATTAACCACTATTATATGTTTAAAAA